TCAGATGAAACCAAAATAGAAATTTTTGGTAAAAATTCAACTCGTCGTGTTTGGAGGACAAAGAATGCTGAGTTGCATCCAAAGAACACCATACCTACTGTGAAGCATGGGGGTGGAAACATCATGCTTTGTGGCTGTTTTTCTGCAAAGGGACCAGGACGACTGATCCGTGTAAAGGAAAGAATGAATGGGGCCATGTATTGTGAGATTTTGAGTGAAAACCTCCTTCCATCAGCAAGGGCATTGAAGATGAAACGTGGCTGGGTCTTTCAGCATGACAATGATCCCAAACACACCGCCCGGGCAACGAAGGAGTGGCTTCGTAAGAAGCATTTCAAGGTCCTGGAGTGGCCTAGCCAGTCTCCAGATCTCAACCCCATAGAAAATCTTTGGAGGGAGTTGAAAGTCCGTGTTGCCCAGCGACTGCCCCAAAACATCACTGTGCTAGAGGAGATCTGCATGGAGGAATGTGCAAAAATACCAGCAACAGTGTGTGAAAACCTTGTGAAGACTTACAAAAAACGTTTGACCTGTGTCATTGCCAACAAAGGGTATATAACAAAGTATTGAGAAACTTTTGTTATTGACCAAATACTTATTTTCCACCATAATTTACAAATAAATTCATTAAAAATCCTACAATGTGATTTTCTGGATTTTTTTCTCTCGTATGTAAACATCCGACTTCAACTGTATGTAACATTTTCCCCCTCTATTACTTTACCCAAAAGAGGTACATAAAATGGCACCGGATATTCGGAATGATTTTGTTAGAGTAGGCCCTATGTAGGCCTACTATATGAGTGATAAACGTCACACACTCTTCAAATCCATAGCAAGCTGAATTTTGCAGATAGAAATGTAATGAATTAATGTTATGATTCCTTACTGCCTACAGTCGGAGAGATATGTTTGGCAACCAATTCCATGAGCAGCAGCACTTGAGAAGAGCTCCTCAAATTATTTTAAAAGGGGCCGATCCCGATTTAGGAATGCATGCCTTTCCTATGCACTTCTCAGTATTTGGTATTCAGACTTGCCTTATTTAGTCGTGTAAATACGATGCATCTTTCATTAGAATTTTGTCGACAAACTCAATAGAGTGCATCAAGAGAACAGGTTCAGAATATAGGGATCAATGAAAGACTGCCATCTATGCATATTCGTCTCCATTTCAGCACGATTTTAAAAATACTCTGATCTTGTAGATTATTTAGGCACATTTTAGGGTTAGGAAAGTATGAATGAATTATTTTAAAAAACGGTTTAGAGAGCCTTTACGCACAAAATATATTGATAAAAAATACAGTGGTTTGATTAATCCTGAAAGTTGTCATATTCAAGTTAAATCCATGAAATATTGGAAGGTGTAAAAAAAAGTGTACAATAGCGGTTGAACAATAATCCTATATATCAAACGAAATTCTCACAAATCATGGAACTGTATGACAATGGTCCAGTCGTCGTGGACTGTGCACCAGGCTCCAGGTTTAACATGCTATGTGTGGTCTGAGTTTCATAATGATTCAAATTGTCCTAAGTTATTGCAAAGCGTTAGCCTAATATGATCCTCTAATGCTAGCGACCCTCAGGAACCATTTACAAGGACGTGACAGAGGAAAGGTGAACGGAATTGCATGATGCAAAAATAAATGTACAGTATTCGGGTATTACTGACTGTTGCTCCCGATAGTGGCTAATATTTAACATGATACAAATTGTAAAATAAAATGAGAAAAGCCCTGGCATATATAATCAAAACATTCTAAAGCCCAGACATCAACTCCGCAGGTTCAGCCCTACAGAAGCCAGTTTGGGTCTCTAAATTTCATCCACGCAAATTATGAGGGCACACAATTAGAATTCTGAATAAAGGCACAGCTATTCATAGCCAATTTCACTGTGGAAAAGGGGCCGCAATACATGTGATGTTATGATTTTCAGTTTGCTTCCTTATGGCTGGTTTCACATTAGTCTCCAGAGATCATAAGGAAAAATCATATAAAACAATTGCTATGTGTAATTACAATCCCCTTCTCCAAATGGATTACCCATTTACCTAGCTCTTATCAATAGATCTTATCAAGTTGTAAATTACAGTGCATGGAGAATGGTGTTATTTCTATCGAAAAAATAAAGTCGATGTTTTTCCCACCTGGAACCGATAGGTTCTCTAGAACTTATTCATGGTTTCCTCGCACACAAAGGTGGTGGAATTAGGGAATTAGGCTAAATCAAGGTCAGAATATGACATATCTGTAGACACCTCCACCACACCTTCATTTAAAGGTGTAGATTTAGTAAGTCTGAATCGGGCCCATAGTGTCATTTCTTTGCATTAAAGCTCAGGCTCTAATCAATGTCCACATAAACAATTTCAGTTATGAAAAGGTTGGAGTGTGTTACGGATACTGGTATCCTGTATGTGTATTTGTGTTTTTCCTCTCCTTCTGCCCTATTCACAGGTGTCCCTTGTTTTCCTGATTGGTGGTCGTTGGTGTGTCCCACCTGTCAGTCATCAGTTAATCTGCTGATTGCTGAGGTGGACCAATCAGTGGACACTCCTCCTGATTGCACCACATGTTTCTGGTTTTCATTACCCAATCACATCACACATCCCCTGGTTTAAAAAGCCATTCAGTTGTGTTTCTCAAGGAGATTCTTTTTTTTTTGCCCTTGGGCATACACTACCCCTAGGAAAACTTTGTCTAAAAACACTAGTTAGACCTGAGCGGACCACCCACTGTATTTTTGTATAGGTAGTAGCAAGCTAGCGGTTCTTGAGGCAGGCATGATCAGTTTAAGGGGTTTTGAATGTATTATTTAATTCCTTGGGTCCAGCTCAGCCCCTTTTCCCCAAACCGTTTACTGTGTGTTTAAAATAAAAGTTTTGTGTTTGACGGTAGGATTGGTTGTCAATGTATTTTGTTCTCACTGTTCCTTTTCACTATTCTAATTCGCATGAGTTATGTTACGGCTCTTAACCATCCACCCTAGACTTTAAAACCACGGGTTTCGTAACAATGTTTGTAAGACAATTCTGAATAAAACGTGAACAAAAACTATGAAATAATCAGTGTAGTTACAGACCACAGTGTAAAACACTACACTAGCACCTCCCAGTGGCAAAAATGTCTTCAAATGTACTCCGGAGTGTTCATGTGCCTCAGAGGGCAACTGTGCTGCTTTGTACTTCTCGTCATTCCAGTGTCTAAAAAGGTCAAAGTGGACTCCAGAATCATCTATCCAAGATTCACCCATTTCAAAAAGTTGTACAACTACTTCTAATATCCGGTGTGGGTTTGGGGTGAATGACTGAAAACAGTAAAATATGCTGAAGCAAATATTTGGACTGCTACAAACTAAGCCCCAAGAATAGAACACAGGTTGTTTAAAACAGCATTTATTTTTATATAAATACAAAAATAATTTACTTTACACATTATTGTTTTTATACAGAATTAGTGGCATGTCTGGAGGACACTTACACCATGGAGGGGCTTAGACAAAGGCACTGGACAGTATCCCATGTGATAACACGCTCACACTAGCGCTAACATCAGCAAATACATGCTAGATCGCTGTTGCTTATTGGACTCAGCCTGCACCGAAGGCACTGGGGTTTTAGTACACCTGTGGAGGCCCATCCTACACTAGGCTAATGTTGTCCAAATCACCAGTGGAGCAGTGCTCTGAGGCGAACACCAAACTGTCATGAGCATGGCATAAGGACTGAACTCAATTAGTAAGAGTGGATATAAAATTAATATGCATGCAGTGGTAAACGATGGCTATCGTTTTTAAAATGGCTCATGCCATGCTTGTGACAGAGCTAAAGTGAAATGTGCACTCTGCTCTGGTTCCTCCAAGAACAGTGCCACACTGCTCCCTTTCCTCTCTGGCTTCAATGTCACACCGTCACTTCTGTTGGACATAATACAGACAGATTTAAGAGATTAAAGTAGGCCTACAGCTCTTTAACAGTAGGAGCAGGTTGGCTTCCAAAGTTTCTCAGCACCAGTAGAGGCTGTGACTCAAACCAGAGAGAAATGGATGCGGCATTTACGAAAGAGGGGGGTCAACACCAATACACTCCACTCAGTATACATGTAAACATCAGTTCTTACTGGCAAAATGGTTATCCTGTATCCTTCCACCATTACAGGTGTACTATGGGTAGGGCCCTGAGTTTTTCCCAGCCATGTGACCAGACCCAGGAAATACTTCAGGCCCTAACTATGGGAGATGGCTCACGTACTCGGACAGACAAAATCCTGCAAGACTTTTAGTAGCAGAATATATAAAATGTTTACAATTAAATGCAGACAATGTATTAAAATTATAAAAAGTACAGGTATTGAAATATAGAAACCAGCTGAAAGCAAGGTCACATAAAGCTGAATTCTACAGCCAAAGCTAGAGGTTCAGCACCAACTGTAAACAGCAGAGATCATTTGGGCTGGTGGGACAAAGCTACTGAACTGCCCCACCATTGGCTAACCTAACACACGTCTAATATCAACAATCTGTTTATTTTATTTTTTAAACTAAAAACTTGTGCTTTCACCCTGAACAGGAAAGAAAAGCACAGGTATAAAAATTTAAAATATCGTAATACAAAAAGTACAGTAGAGCTTTGGGTCATAACTTTGAGAGATTGCTGTAGCAGAGAGAAAGGAAAAGATCAGAGGGTTGGGGTCAATTCTCTTTGAATTCAATAGTGCACTGACTTTTATATTGGAAAACAAAACTCCTTCATACCTAACCTGGGATGTAATCATTAGTCCAAAACATTTTGCAATGAAAACCGTGTACTCCAAATGGAAAATGGCAGTTTCTATTGGACAAATTCAGGTAGGTCCCTACCAGTTCCGTTTGGTTCGGTATGGTTCCTAGAGAATACACCCCAGTACTCTAAATTCCATGTCTAATTTCAGTTCCTGAATAGGCTCATATTCAAATGTGATTGACCCTTGATCCTGAGCCTGATTGACCACCTGTCACTTATCCTTGTCATAGTGGAAACCATTCCCGTTGGTTATTTCACCGTTGGTTTTGTTGTAGGGGTGGGCCCAGGTTTTGGCCTGAAAGACCTTGGGCAGCCTCTTGCCCTTGGTGTAGGCATGGTACCAGAAGTTGAGGAAGAGGAGGAGGAAGACCAGGCCGTAGAGGCCAATGATATAGATGAAGACTGGGAACTGGTAGGGACAGTCCTTCATGAAGAAGTACTGCCAGATGTGGGTGGTAACGATCACAAACTGGATCTGAGGACAGACAAAGGTTGGTCAAATATTACTTGTTTTGAACATAATTATTGGACCATCCCAAGAATCAGATCCTTGTTCATAAAAACGTATGACTATTGATTCAAATTCAACTTCAACTCCCACACTAGTCTAGTTCAGTGCAGTATGTACCAGCTGAATAGTGGTGAGGTACTTCTTCCACCAGAGGTACTTCTGGTAGGCGGGGCCCAGGGCAGACAGGCCGTAGTAGGAGTACATGATGACATGGACCACACAGTTCAACAGGGCATGGAACGTCCCCTGGCCACCTACATGACGAGATGAGCAATTAGCAGTTTGTTCTATAGGGCAATACTATCCCTAAAATGGGCATGTTTCTGTGTTCCACTTCGACAACAGCTACTAAGGAAGACAACATGCTGAATACTGACATTTTTCTGGTACAGACCATCATTACATAAATCTGCTGGTATGATGCCCCATTAGGAGTTGTATGACACCAATGTGCTAAGACAGTCACGGTACCAACTCAAGCACTTGTATACTGTACCTGCAGCGAACCGGACCCCAAACCACCAGGTAAAGGGCATGATAGAGTGATGGTAGACATGGAGGAACGTAATCTGACTGTTCTTCTTCCTCAGAACAAAGAAGATCTGAAAGAAGGGAGAATTCAGCCATTTAACTTGAAGGCCCAGTGCGGTCAAAATTCAGTTTTTTCCTGTGGTTTATATCATATTGTACAACAGCTGATGAAACTAACACGGTAAAAGTGTGAAAAAATGTGATCAGTGTCATTTCCTAAAAGTTGCTGGTTGAAAATACAATCTACATAGGACCTTCTAATCAGTACGTTTGCATGGGCGGGAGTGTCTGCTTTCCATGGTGACATCACCATGCGGTAAATTGGTGAATAGACCAATAAAGAGTGTTCCAAACTGCTTTGCCAATAACATCTATTTTTCACTTTTCATCTCCCCAATCAGACCACTTCCAGACAGTCCTAGTAAAATTCTTGCTTGAGAAATATTTTTGCTAAAAAGCTATTTTTGCTCAATTTAATAGAAATCTATTACAGTAAGGTACTTGATTATTACCCAGAGATGATTTCATATTGATATAAAAACAGCTACACTGGGCCTTTAACAGAACAAGACAAAGAAAAAAACGGACAACTGAACAAGGGAGACACAGACAGTCAGAAAGCTGTACTAAAGGGAATCAACTTACTGTGTCCAACATCTCTATGAACTTTGAGAAGTAGTACAGCCAACACGTCCCAGCCATCTAAAGGGGGAGAGAGCAAGAGATCGAGGTTATTAGTGGCAAGACAGGAATAATTACATTTCTTACAGATAAGCAAAACCATCTAATTCAAAATGGTGGTGACCTAACAGGCCTCGCCACACAACTAATGACATTCTGCAACACAGGAAACGTGGTGTGAATCACAGCTATGGAATGGCCTGCTCTCAATGATTCTTTGTTCCAACAGTTTGTTAGCATTCTAGAGACAGTGGAGGAATCCACAGGTGAATGGGTGTTAATAGGAAGAAAGGAACTGCCAGTACTAGTAGTTTCAAGATCTCTGATTGTACTGTAGCAGGTAGAGTCACATCCCACAGCTCTTACCCTCACTGCCTGCGGCGATTCCGAGTAGTCCACTAGGTCACAGTGGAACGTGTAGCCCGTCCCCCAACCCGACATCACATACTACAGGAAGAGACAATTAATTAAAATCGACATACTCCAAATCACAACACAGCTGTTGTTGCACTTACTCTCCTTTAAACAAAGACTAGACACCAACTGAAATGCATTGTCTTCACATTGAAACTAAAGAGTGTAGTGTAGAGTATTACAAATCACAATTGTTTCGTTTTTTGCTGCTTGCCTCACAGACCATACTGCTTGACGAGGCGTTAACAAATACTAGAGCCTGTCAGAAGTCCATTGAGAAAGAGACCCACCTCATAGCACATGTAGAGGGACAAGGCGACCACGCTGAAGTTGTAGATAATGAGAACTTCTTTGAGGTGGAAGGCCTTGCGGTTCTCCATGAGTCTGGGCCCCAGCCGCGTCACAAAGTAGATGTACGCCACAATTATTACGGTCTGGGGGAGCGGCGATGACATGAGAAACCAGTCTTCTGTCCTGGGGTCTGGACAGCAGAGAAGGGATGAGTGTGATTCAACAGAACTCAATGCATCATGCCATCTAGCCAACCATTCAACGGAGATACACCAACAATATGAACAAGTTTAAGAGGGTATATTTAGAGACGATTCCCATGGCTTTTAATTATCAGCACCATTTCATCAAGCCCAGAAGACAAACCATGGCTAGATGAACAGTCAATATCTGTCCGTTTCCACCAAGTAACACGATGGAAGAGAATGTTGCATAATGATTTTATGCGTTATCCTCTGGCTTCCACTGGAATTGCACATTTACCTTTTTAATACCAAAACTAAACATCTATGCATCGCTGTTGTACAGCAGTTAGTGATGGTTCCTCACCTGCATTCTTCATGAAGTTTTCATACCAGAGTCCGGCCCTGGCCGTTAGATCCCTGAACTCCATGTCACCCTGAGCTCCTGTAGCCGTCCTGGAGGAGGAAACACACAGGTCAGAGGTTAGAGATCAGTGCTGTGACAGAGGTAAGACAGTGGTCCTTGCTATCTGGGATCCTTTGGACATCCAACTGTGACATCACCCTATTGAAGTAGCAATGTAAAAGGGTTAGGTAAGGGTTATGGTTAGGGTAGAGGTTAAGGGTAGGGACGTCCCAATGAGTCCGTATAGCACTAACCCAGAGGTCAGATGTATACGTTTAGGCAGTCCTACAGTAGTTTTCTTGGACGGGATGATCAACATGAAATAACATGCCTTAAATGTCAATCTTACTCTCTTGACTTAAATGGTCATAAAATGGACATTATCTAGTCCTAGATCAACCCATTTCCCTCTAATAAATACACATGTACCATATTCAAATACTCTGTGACCAAAGTGGATGGGTCATGTAAAATATACCAGCCCTGAATGAAAGGCTGCATTGTTGAAGTGAAATTAGTCCGATCAGCATTTCTCTCTCCTCTCGGTCAGTATCTCATTGGAAGACAAGGGAAGGAGTCTTCACAGAACAATGGCCATCAGTCAGGCTTCCTCACCCATAGGGCTCTGGTAGTGCACTAAATAGTGAATAGGTTGCCATTTGGAAATACAAACAGTCAGCATGCAGGGAACAGCACAGCACTCATTCACTGGAGTGTGTGGCACACGTGCAGACAGGGACACAGTCATTATAATGAAGACAATATTATAATCATTCTGTTATACAACTAATAGCCCATGTAGTCCTACTCAACGTCTTCTCATTTAAGATGGCCTGCTTTCTAAATATCAGTCTACCGTTCCCAAGCCGACACGCCTGTTGCTAGGCGGGAGGGAAAGATTAGGATACACACAGACAGAATAAGGAGCAACACTGGATCGGTCGACCAAGGATAGCTCCCTCCCTGTTAATGGGTAAGGATAAATGGCATTTACAGAGAACAGCTACATGAGGCTAGGGTTACTATCCTGACATCTCTCTATTCAATAAAACCACAGCCTGAAGACACAGAATGTCAAGCCAGAGATCAAAGCTCCATTCTAGAACAATTAGGCCAATACATTTACATTTTAGTCATTTAGCAGACGCTCTTATCCAGAGCGACTTACAGTTAGTGAGTGCATACATTTTTCATACTGGCTTCCGGGGAGAAACAAACCCACAACCCTGGCGTTGCAAGCGCCATGCTCTACCAACTGAGCTACAGGGGACCCAACACAAGTGGATTGCTGACTGACATATACACCATGTCCATGTCAGATTTCCTTTCAAACTGTCTACTGCAAACTAAACCAGCAGATAGCTAAGCCATCATGCCATATATCATAAGCGGGGAAGGGGGGGGGGGGGGGGGGGGGGGGGTCATTTTATTTAACCCATGAGATACAATGCTCTTTAAGATTCAGCCTAACATGATGTAGGCCTAAGTTATGGTAAAACATGACAACATTTAGAGCCATGTGAACCGGTCACTTTAAATTCCTAGAAGGGTGGGGGAGGAAGACTAGCTGAAACCTTGGTCTCTTTTCCCATCACTGGAGATACCAAGAAACCTACTGATTCTAAAGATCCACACAACTCTTTTGATAACCAAGCTGTCATGCTGTTGTTAGTACACTAGGGACTTTTTCTCATGTATTAAGTATGTATGTATTCTGTGTTATTATTTAGTTAGCTAGTAAATAAATGATTAAGCCAATTTGTGTAGTGCTGAATCATAAGTAAAGCTGGGTTTCTTGCGGATCCAATGAATGACGACTGATAAGAGGTAATGATTGATACGTTGACTGTTTTATACATAGTGATAGGTAAAGACCTTTCAGAGTTTAATTCGGGAGATGGTAACTCTATAAACAACTTCTTCTGTGGTGCCCCAAAGCCTAATGAGTTAATTGTTATATGATTAATTTAAATTGAGTAACATTTAAACATAGTTAGTTGATTCAATAAATATCAGTCATCATATTAAATGAAAGTCACGTCACAACAAGACCGTGTAGAAAGTTCCAGACCACGGGATACACAGTGTTATCTGGCAAAGCCTGCCGTGTGAAACTTCCCCAAGATAAGTAAGCTTTAAAAAGGTGCACTATACAGAAATCTCTCCACCATTTCCTGATTGCTAAAATTCTAATAGTTATCCTAATTTCAATTTATGTGACAAAACAAGCAAGTATAGTGTAGAGAATCATTGTACCATCTAAACTGCTGTGAAATATATTTTCCATAACCAAAAATATGGTATTTTCAGCTGTTTGAAGCTGGTTTACAAAACCAAAAGTAAAAAGACGCAAAAAGGAAACTTTACGGGAACCATAGAAATAGTGCACATAGAACAGATCTACCACTTCTTAGACTTGCTTGCAATGAGTGACATACAGTATCTATAACTCACATACTATGTGAATGTGGTTAGGTCGCCCAAAAAGCTGTCTGACTTTATTTTATTTTTTTATCAAATGCAACGGTTTCTATCTCAATATCAGATCATTTCTGGGTAAAAATGAAGTACCTCCCTGGGATTGTTTTTAAATTAAAATGGTCAAAAAGAAACAAAAATAGCTCCTTAGCAAAAATAAATTTCTCAAGCAAGAATTTTGCTTGAGTGGAGAGGGAAAACTGAAAACTAGCAGTTATTGGTAGAGGTTTGGAACTATTTCTTATTGGTCTATTAACTAATTTACCGCATGGTGATGTCACCAGGCAGGCCAAAACGCCATCCCACTCAAACAGGATGACATTTCAGGCAGTCCTTTTAAAACAGCTTACACTAAAAGTATTATTCAACCTCAGTGTGGAAATGTATATCAAACACAGGGAAATCACATTTGACTGCACTGGGTCTTTAAGGGAAGAGTGTTTAAGAGGGAAACAGTGGCCTTTCCTCAACTGCTCAACTCCTGCATCCTCTCTCGTTTCTGGCCTCCTTTCGAAAAAGGTCAAAGGTAATAGAGGAGAGGCAGCGAAGCACGTGAAAGTGGACGAAAATGTGCTTGTATGAAATGAGACTCTCCTCCAATCGCGTGTCATCAGGCAAATTACATTTACAGGGTGGAATCCCACCAAAAATGTATATAGTGATCAAAACAAATTACATTGATAAATGGATAAGTAGCATATCGTTTTTAAAATGTTTGCATGCTTTTCTCCTTCGAGAAAACAATAGCTGATTCAAAGGGGGTGTGGCAGATTTCTAAACTCTTCCGTGAAGGACTCCGGTAGGATACACTTGTGCTTCCTCGCCGAAAGGAGGCTATCGAGGTGGGGAAGACAGGCTTCCGTTTGCCTACTAACGAATTGACTCGCTCCTCGATCACTTATCGGTTACCGGGTCACGGAGGAGAGGATGGACTTTTGCCCAAAAGAGAAAATGCCATCGTCTTAGTGGAGCAGCTCCTGTTAAGGGCACAAACCTAAACCCTACCCAGGGCCATCACTACACCCATACAAGGGGATGATGCATGGGACATTCAACACTAGATTTCCCTATATAACTTAAATCAGAGTACAAGTAAGCCTACAGGATATGCCCTGAACTGGCTTTACATGTTCAAGCACTGGGTTTCCCTGTATAAAACTTAAATCACTTGAGTTGAGCCAAGGGCAAATAATGTTACTACCGCAAATTCTATAAATAAATCAGAACGAAGAACACAAAAGTGTAATCATTAACTAATGGCATTAAGATCAACATAATAAAATAGTAGGTGATTCCTTGGGCATATTGCACTACCATGTGGAGCTACACAACACTCTACAGGTCATGCAGGTTTCCTCTTTGACGGATAAGGTGTGGTGCCACACAATGGGATAGCACTGGAGGTCTGAGTCATTCAAACCCTTGGTTGACATGGTGACACTATTTAAAGACACACACACAAGCTTTCACATGTTTGTTTCAGTTTATGCAACTTACACCTTTCCTGTCTGACAGCTCCCATCCCTTACGAAAAAAGATTGCAGTATATATATAATATATAATACGCTTTTATCCAAAGCGACTTACAGTCATGTGTGCACAACTGCAGTATGCTGCAAATACTGCGTCCAAATATTTTTTTTTTACTGCAGTAATTGTGCAGTGTAACTGCAGTACACTGCCGTTATTCTCCAATGACTGCGTCCAAAATACCACAGTCGACTGCAGTTACTGCACTTTTACTGGTTTCGAAACTGCAATCTTTTTTGTAAGGGACGCTGATGAAGCTAGTCCAACCGTCCGCCAGATGGCACTATTATTCCTTTTACGTCGTTTGTCATCTGCATCTGACTTTAATGTGCCCAGCCAGCTTAACACTCATGTCCCCCGGCGACCTGCTTGTACATAAAGAATCCTCCATTCAGGCTGCAAAGGTATCAGTTTCCTCATGAAAATGGTACTAGAAAATTGTGTTTTATTATGACAGTATGCATATGTTCCCTGTTTTTTTAGGCCGGCGGGCCATTAAATCGAGTTAAGGAGGAAACAGACCTCTTTGCAGACTGAATGGAGGATGCTTTATGTACTAGCCGGTCGTCGGGGGACACGAGTGTATAGCCGGATGGGCTGAGAAGGGTGTAACAATTCCCCCACCTGTCGGGCTTTCCTGCAGCTAGCTAGGACACGGTAGACTGTGTCATTTAACCCCCGCCTGTCGGGCACTGCTTTCCCACAGTTCTGTTAACGATGGTGAGGGCAGATGTTCGGCAGGGGTTAGCGAAGGACACTGTGCTAGCTAGCTAGGACTCCAATACACAGCAGATGGGAGGCGGGGGCGACACCAGTAGCTAGCTAGGGCACATGTAGACTGTGTCCTTCGCCCCCCCAAAAAAACTCATAATACTTGTATTTCCTTTTTGACCAACATCTTTAAATCGTATAGACAATGAGGGGAAATCCAGAAAACCAGTCAGTATCTGGTTTGACCACCATTTGCAACATCTCCTTCGCATAGAGTTGATCAAGCTGTTGATTGTGGCATGTGGA